ACCACTTGGGGGGTGATTTCTCACTTTCTGTCTGTCTCTCTCTGTCTTTCTGGCGAGCGCACGTGCCCTATAGCAAAAACCTCTCAAAAAAAAAAACCCAAAAAATAAAAATAAAAAAACCCAGGCATGTGTTGTTTCTGGGCATTTCTATGGTCACTAATGTAACCTGAAACCTGGGGTTGACCACTTTCTCTGGGCCTCGGTTACCTCACCTGCAAAATGTTCTGAGTGACACCTGTCATGCAGAGGGTACCAAAGTGATGACAGGACCCAATAAGGAGCGGGGTGGAAGCGGCTGGGGAGGGCTGAGCTTTGCAGGTGCAATCAGGCCACAGAGCACTGTGGTGCGGGGCCTGACTCTGGGGCCAGGAGTCCTGCATTTGAATCCAGCTCCACCACAGCAGCCCGGCTGTGTGCCCCAGAATGAGGCTTCACCTCTGCGACTGCGGTCCCTCTGCACGGCAGTGCTGCCTTCTCAGGGCTGAGGGGCATGAAATGAGCTAACAAAACATCCATGCAGAAGAGGGTTTCACTACGTCTTAATCCATCTGTCCACACGTCTGTCTGTCCACTCATCTCTCCTCTCGGCCATCAATCTGGCCACGCACACGGTTTCCATTTACCCACTCACCCACCCGTCTATTCGTCTGTCCATCCAGCCATCCATCCATATACCCAACCACTCATCCACCCATTCACATACCCATCCAAATACCCATCCATCCATCTACTCATACACCCGTCCATTCATCTACCCATACAGCTACCTATCCATCCACCCCTCACCCATCCACATGCCCACGAAGCCACCCATTTGTCCATCCATCCATCCATCTACCCACCCTCCTGGTCCATTTGTCCGTCCATTCGTATACCCATCCATCCACTCGCTTGTCTGCCCACCCACCTGTTTATCCATCTATCCATATACCCATCCATTCATTCATTCTTAAACCTACACATCCATCTACCCATCCATCCATTCAACCACCCATCCATCCACCCATCCATCCATCCATCCAAACATCCATCCATCCAATCACCCACCTATCCAACTATCCATCCATTCATCCAACCATCCATCCATTCAACCACCCATCCATCCAACCATCCATCCAATCACCCATCCATCCATCCACCCAACCATCCAACCATCCATCCATTCATCCAACCATCCATCCATTCAACCACCCATCCATCCAACCATCCATCCAATCACCCATCCATCCATCCATCCATCCATCCAACCATTCTACCATCCATCCATTCATACACCCATCCAGCCAACCATCCATCCACCCGCCCATCCATCCATACACCTCTCCATCCAACCTGTGCATCCATTCATCCTACTCGTGCACTTTAAGGCGAAAATCCAAAGACTGGTAAGTCTATTGGAAGAGCTGTTTTGGGAACTGGAAGCCCTGAGTTTAGTATCATCTCCTATGCAGACTGTCTGACCTGGTATGTCACCTTCCCACTCTGAACCTCAGTTTCCCTCTCTGTCAAATGAATAGCCGGAGGTCCCGGGGCCGCCCAGGGTCCTGTAAGTCTTAGTCACCCATCAATACCAGGATCGCCATCTGTGGAGCAGCAGCACGTGGAGATGCGGAACCTTCCCTGCGGGGTCCCAGAGGGGCTAAGGCCTAGATGGACAGTGGGAGCGCCACTATGACACTGGGTGAGGGCCCCCTCCATGCGAGGGTGTGGGTTACAAGGGGGTCTCTTGCACGTGGCTCCTGAGAGACAGAATCCAGGCCACATGTGCCACTTCTCTGAGCCCATAAGACATTCCCTACTTTCGTTGGGGACAATGTCAAAACCAGTACTAACTCCTGGAAGTCAGACCCTCAAACGCACCTGCATCTCCCCGGGCCACGCTCTGGGGCTGGTGGCCGGGGCAGCTGAGAGGCCCTCAGAGCCAGGCGGTGAGTCCTACCTGGCTGAATGAATCCAGGCAGACCCCGTGGTCGATGAGGAACTGCCGGACCTCCTGGACGAGCTGGGTCTCCCCCAGGGCCACACGCACGGCCACACTGCCCTTGGTCTCCTGTGCGAGAGGAAAGAAGAGGCCGAATGACTGCCGAGCAGGTGCCAGTACCCACAGGTTCTCAACAGGCCCGGTTCGGATAGAGGCTGGCTATGACGTGGCCCCTCCCTGCTCACATGGATTTGACGCCCCCAAAGATGCTGGCTTCCCACGGCTCACAGCACAGCCAGGACCCCGCAGTGGCCCTCCCTCACTCCTTCCACTCCAGCCCTGCAGGTCAGCTTGCTGCTCCTCCCACTCCCAGCCGGGGCTTCTGCTCTCACGCCCTCATTCCTGCCACGGAACAACCCACCCCTGGAGGCATGCCCACTCCTCCCGTGCGCTTCAACGTCCACACCTGCCACACCGCCCCGATCCCAGTGTCTTCCAGTGCACTCAAAGGCACTGGGAGAGAGCCTGGTTCTGTTCTGGGTGTGGCTATGTCCTGGGCTCAGGGAGCACCTGTGGGACCGGAGGCAGCTGCAGCCCAGCCCAGGTGGCTGGGGCTAGAGCCGGGCTGCTGGCTATGGCGGCTAGGACTGCATGGCTGCTGAGCGCCAGCTGATGACCCAACACCCACACTGAGCTCAGTGAGAAAGAGAGACCGCAAAACAGCTTATACTTCATGGTATCCTACACATAATGAAACCATGTTCCATACCTCGAGTTAAACGAAGCATATTACTAAAATTAATTTTGCCTGTCTCTTTTTCTTAAAAATGTGAGTGCTAAGGACCATCAGATGGCATAACAGTTACATCGCTGGACTGCCACATGGTCAACTGTGGTTCGAGTCCCGGACCCGGCAGCTTAAAACTCATGCTGGGCACATGTGCATACATGCCCAAAATCCCGAAAGGAGAATGAAGGAGAAGGGATTGTGGTATGGCCAACCCCCCAGGGGGTGATTTCTCACATTCTGACTCTCTGTTTCTGTCTCTTTGGTGAGTACATGTGCCTTATAGCAAAAATCTCTCCTTAATAAAAACAAAAAAAAAAAAAATAAGAAAAAAACCCCCCAAAAAAAAAAAAAAAAAAAAAAAAAAAGAGCCCCAGCCGATAATGTAATGGTTACTTCACTGGAGTTACACCTCGTCGACTGCAGTTAGAGTCTTGGACACAGTGGCTTACAAAAAAAACATGCTGGGTGCCGGGAACCAGCAGTTAGCGTAATGGCTATGTCGCTGGACTCCCACGTAGTTGACCGTGGTTCGCGTCCCAGACCCAGTGGCTTAAAACTCACGCCGGGCGCGTGTGCGTGTGTGCCCAAGATCCCGAGAGGAGAATGGAGGAGAAGGGATTGCGGCGTGACCATCCCCCCTGGGGGGGTGATTTCTCGCTTTCTATCTCTCTGTCTCTCTCTGTCTGTCTGGCGAGCGCACTCGCCCTATAGCGAAAATCTCTCAAAAAAAAAAAATTAAGTTCAGTTATGTGCGTGTGCACCCAAAATCCCAAGAGGGGAATGGAAGAGAAGGGACTAAAGCATGGCCCATCCTCCCCTGGGGCGGGGGGGTGGTGATTTCTCACTTTCTGTCTGTCTCTCTGTCTCTCCAGAGAGCACACATGCCCTATAGCAAAAGTCTCTTTAAAAAAAAAAAAAAAAAAGTGAACACGATATACGTGTGGTTCTCTATGTGGCTCCCGCTTAGAAGGCGCTGACCTTGAGTGTTGGGAAGAGGGGGAAGACACAAAAGGGCCCGCGGGCTTATGGGCCATGCCCACACCCTCTGCTGGGGCCTGGCAAACACTCCGAGGCTTTGCTGAACTCAGACGGACCCGGCTGCTGGCTAAAAGAAGAGACTTTGCTTTCAGAGAAGGCAGAAGGGTAGAAGCATGCACGAGACAAAGCAGTTTTTTTTTTAACCTTATACAAAGTAAAAGTACTAGATACTGTATCCGAGCCCACTTTGTACTGCATGCAAAGCTACTTTGCCCAAGTATACTTTACAGAAAGACACACTTTATACAAAGTATACTTCTAAGGGATACAAGCAGTGTGCAAAGTATGCTTCGCGCTTTTATACACCGGATACAAAGTGTAAAGCGCATTAAGTAGCAGGTGTGGAGCTGGGCTTAGAGACCTGCAGTTCTGCAAGAGGACTACGGTGAGTCCTATTCATGCCAGACTTTTGCTGAAAGACTAGATTTTCGGTTCCGTTGCTACAGGAAAAAAAAAAGATAAGTATTGCGAGAGAATGAATACGTTCATGTGCTGGCCCACAGTGACCCCTTCACTATCCGTGTGTATGTAAAAACACCGTGTTGTGCTCTTGGATATACAAAATAAAATCTAAAATGTGTGTGATGTGGAGGGGCTAGGTGGATGGGGGGAACATCAGGAATAACGTTAGGCTTGGAAGGAGGAGCAGGGGCAGGGGCCACTGACTACAGGGGTTTGGCTACTCCGTGTCCACAGGCCTCGGTGTCCTCCCTTGAAAATCAGAGATGGAAGGGCCCCTACCTCACCGGCTGTCATGAGAGGACCACACACTGGCGCTGTGGCACAGTGGACGCTCGGTCACCAGGGGATAGCACTGTCAGGCCTGGCTCTGGGGAGACCCCACGCAACAGCAGAGGAGCTGGGCTGGGGCAGAAGGGGGGTTTCCCTGGGAGGGCTCAGAGAAGCCCTGCCCTATTCCAAAGTCTCTGGGAGGCCTAGGGGACCCTGTGACTGCGACTTTGACACCAGAGGCCCTGCCCTGTGGACGACATGGCACGGCCGCCCTCACTTGCTCTCCTCCTGTGTTTGGCCCAGAGCCGGGATGGCCGGGGTGGCCCTTCACTCACGTGGTCAAACACTTGGCTCTTGGTGGCGTTGTACTTCTGAGCGATGGCATCGGCCACGGCGTTCGGCCCCATGAACAGCGTGTTCCAGTTGTGAGAGCTGCGAGGCGGGGACAGAGCAGGGAGGTGAGAGGATGGGACGGCAGGGCCGGGGGAGGTGTTAGCAGGTCCCACCTGGAGGAAAAGGGCTCCCAGCCCGGTCTCTGCATCCCCCACCCAAGCTTCCCTGTCATGGGCTATGTAGAGAGAACTGCCAGACAGAGACGGCGATGACTCATGACCCTGAGGGCCTACCTGCGCTAGGGACTACGCGCTCCCCAGGTATCAACCCCTTAATCCTTCCTAGACCACCACCGCCAGGCTGTCTACCATTCTCCCCATTTTACAGATGAGGACACTGAGGCTCAGCGTAGTCATGGACTAGACCCATCGGGGGTGTCAGAGAACTTGGACAGCCTAACGAGGGCAGGGTGAGAGCAGCAGACCCTTGGGGCTGGGACTCAGAGGCCACGAACCACGAACGAGTGAGAAGGACCTGGAGGGGCCAGCAGATGGTGTAGTGGTTAAGACACTGGACTCCTACATGGCTGACCATAGTTCCAGTCCCTGAGCTGAAGGCTTGAAACTCACGCTGGGTGTGAGTGCGTGTGTGCCCAAAATCCCAAGAGGAGAATGGAGGAGACAGGACTACAGTGAGGCCATCTCCCTGGGGGGCGATCTCTCGCTTTCTGTCTCTCTGTCTCTCCAGCAAGTGCGCACACCCGATGGCAAACATCTCTTAACAAAACAAAACAAAACAAGCACACAAAAGACCTGGAGCTGTTGGCTTTGTCCTTAGCCTCCTTCTTCTTCTTGTAAGACGAAGACCCCGGGGCATCGGCCTCCTCGCTGGCTTCCTTCTTGATGGTGGAAGGTAAGACGTGGAGCATCCGGCCCTGCAGGGACAAGAAGCGGGGTGGGCGAAAGCCGCGTGCTCAGGCAGGCAGGCAGGGCAGATGCGGCTACACCCCGCCCTGGGATGACGCTCCTGCCACGGGCAGGCTGGCCCAGGACTGAAGCCCTGACAGGAGGGAAGTAACGGAGAGAAAGATTCCGAGGCCATCGGTCCGCACAGGCCAGCGAGAACCATGCAGACACCGACCAGTCGTGAACGGATGAACGAGAACCAGGAACACGGGAGATGAGGCCAGCTGGGGCCG